AACCCTCTACAATCCTGTTGTTGGAAATATACATTGGTGCAGCTACTGTGGAGGATGATATGGAGATTCCTTAAAAAACTAAAAATGGAATTATCATATGATCCAGTGATCTCATTCCTAGGCAGATATCCAAAGAAAACTCTAATTTGAAAAGATACCTGCTCCCCAATGTTTATAGCAGCACTATTTTTAATAGCTAAGACATGGGAGCAACCTAAATGTCCATCAACAGATGACTCAATAAAGAAGATGTAGTGTGTGTATGTATATATATACACACACACATAATACACATATAATGGAATATTACTAATCCATAAAAAAGAATGGCGTAATGCCATTTGCAGCAACATGGATAGACCTCAAGATTATCATTTTAAGTGAAATAAGTCAGACAACGACAAATACCATAGTGTAGCACTTACATATGAAATCTTAAATGATATAAATGAACTTATGTACAAAACGGAAACAGACTGCAGACATAGAAAACAAGTTTATGATTACCAAAGGGAAAAGGGGGCGGAGGATAAATCGGGAGTTTGGGATTAACATATACACATTACTGTTTATGGGCTACATGGGCGTTCCTTGTGTCTCAGCTGGTAAAGAATCTGCCTGCAATGCAGGAGACCTGGGTTCGATCCCTGGTTGGGAAGATCCCCCTGGAAAAGGGAAAGGCTACCAACTCCAGTATTCTGGCCTGGAGAATTCCATGGACTGTACAGTCCATGGGTCACAAAGAGTTGGACACAACTGAGGAACTTTCACTCACTACTGTATATAAATTAGATAAACAAGAAGGATTTACTGTATAGCACAGGTAACTATATTCAGCATCTTATAATGACCTATAATAGTGAAGAATCTGAAAAAATATAGATATATATACACACACATATGTATAACTGAATCACTTTGCTATACACCTAAAACCAACATAACTTTGTAAATCAATTATAGTTCAATTAAAAGAAAGATTTAAAAAACAAGCAAATATGGCAAAAAAAATTGTCTAGACTTAGACAAAAAAATTGTCTACCTACCTAGGTGGTAGGTACCTGGATGTTAATTTTTTTCTATATATTTTTCTCTGTCTTAAAAATATCTCATAGTAAAATGAACCTCAGAATATTTTTTTTCCTGATCTAGAAAGGATGGACATACCATCCTTGATTATCTGCATATTACCTGTCTTCCCAGTGACTTAAAGCCAGATACCAACCTTATGAGGCAGTTTTTAATACCTCAAAGCTAAAAAGGAAGCATTAGTTCAGAACCCTGGAGAGATGTAGAGGTGCCTGGATTCTGGTCCTCGCTTTATGACTAACTGATCTATGACCATGGACTTCCCAAATACAAGCTTTCCTTGCCTTATCTGTAAAATTAGTGAGACTGAGATTGTTTTCATCATTGAAATGTTGTAACATATAAATTATATATAAATGTATATTTGTATTATATTAATGTTTCTCTCTTCAAGAAAATTAGAGATACTAAGGGAACATTTCATGCAAAAGTGGGCTCAATAAAGGACAGAAATGGTATGGACCTAACAGAAGCAGAAGATATTAAGAAGAGGTGGCAAGAATACACAGAAGAACTGTACAAAAAAGATCTTCATGACCCAGATAATCACAATGGTGTGATCACTCACCTAGAGCCAGACATCCTGGAATGTGAAGTCAAGTGGGCCTTAGAAAGCATCACTATGAACAAAGCTAGTGGAGGTGATGGAATTCCAGTTGAGCTATTTCAAATCCT